TGGCATGTCTGATTAAGGTCGGCACACGAACCCATCTTCGAGCGTTCCCCACAAACTCGTGGAAGCAATGCTAAGTATTTGTGAAGGTGTGACAGATGATGGGGATGATGGTGATGGAATGAAACCCGATAAGCTTGTTGCCGTAGCTGCGTCGTTGCATGCCGCATATAAATACTGTCGCAAATCGTGTGTCCATCTTTGCTTGGGCCGTCCAATTCGGCGGGTTGCATTGTACCGAAGGTCCTGTTCTTGTGCCCACAGCAAAACAAGTTTTGCCCATTCGGCGGCCTCCGTCGTTGCGAGGTGCCGCAACCACCTCCATTTTTGCCGTCGTAATAACGTTGTCCAGTCGTCGATCTTGAGCCGCTTCAGGCTCTCTTCGGCGGCGCGCGTGGATCGCCGGATCCATTCTGCCCAGGACTCTTCCACTTCTGCTTCAGGAATGTCACATGAGGAGGGCGAGGTGGTATCGTCTTCGTCGCTAGTGTTCGTTTGGGCGTCGTGGTTGCGTGTGTCACTGCGGGTGCTCTCGCCAGCCAGCGTTTCAGTGACGAGAGGGCGTTGTTGCATCGACGTGGTGGTGCTGGTCATGCGACGCGGCATGCGCACGATCATCCGAAGCATCTGTCGCTGAGTCTTCTGCAGCCGTTGTTCCAATTGTTTTGTCGCGGTCCACGCCTCGCATCCGTAAAGAACCGTCGGAGTGATTGTTCCGTGGATGAAGCTTGAACCGGCCGTTGAGAGAGTAGTGCTTGCTTGTAAGTTCAGCCTTCAATGCGTGAAATTTGCGCCATGCCGTGGCAATGCGATTCTCTATCTCTGTGACATGAAAATCGTCGAACTGCACTTTCCTTCCCAGGTATTTGGTGCTCTTATACGGTGGTAAGACTTCTATACTCATACCGCGGACATCAACGCGTAAGGGCGGTCTTTGTGCTCTGGATGACCTGTGTCCGTTGTGCAGGATCTTCGTCTTGTCCGGGTGGAGACAGAGCCCGACCCTTTTCTGCTTCCTCGCTTAGGTCCCCCAGCATGCTCTTGACGTGGTCAAGCGTTCCGGCGACAAGAAGAATGTCATCAGCAAAGCGGAGATTCGTGAGGCGGTCGTTGGTGTGGGTCTCCAAGCAGATTCCCATGCTCTTCGAAGTCCAGACTTGTTTTACCCGCCGCATCACGTGCTCGGAACCGCTGTTGAACAACAATGAACTCAACGGGTCGCCTTGCTTTGTCCCGCGTCGAATCTCAAAGGTCCGGCTGTTTCGGTCGGTCCGGACCGAGGCAGTCTGGTAGGAATAGAGTTTCGACAGCAATTGAGTGTACGCTGGTGGCGTGCCCTGCTCTGTAAGCGATTCCCAAATGCTGCTGCGCGTTACGCAGTCGAAAGCTTTTTTGAAGTCGACGGCCGCCACGTACACCGGGATCCTCCATTCGTCTGCGGTTTCTTGTAAGATGGTCGCGGTGAAAAGGTGATCTGTGGTTCTGCGCCCATGTCTGAAGCCTGCTTGATCCGAGCTCTGTTGGCCATCAAGGAGAGGGTCGAGTCGATTGTGAAGCAATCTTGAGAACAGCTTGTAGAGCATGGGAATGGTAGCGGTTGATCGATAGTTCTGTGCTTGTCGAGGGTCTCCGCCTTTGTGCAAGACCTTGATCACGGTGTGCTGCCAGCTTTTCGGTGTAGGCGCTTCTGGTTGTAGGACGCTGTTCATCAGTAGGAGGAGTGCTGCGTGTAAGGATTCGCCTCCAGATTTCAGCATCTCTGCAGCGATCCCAGCACAGTCGGGCGCTTTGTTTGTTTTCAATTGCCGCAGGGCTTTGTGTAGTTCTTCCATTGTGAAGGCTGGAACTGCTTGTCGTGGTAGTTCTTTGATGGCGTCTGGCAAATCTTCGGCGGGTTTGTGGATGTCGTCGTAGAGCTGCTCGTAGAAAGTGGCGAATACGTTGGCTATGGATTGCCTGTCGAAGTGGTCGTGCCCATCCTTACCTGCCATGCTCGGAATGAGCTCCTTGCCTTTGCATGTTTTTACGCCGCTGGTGTGTTTCAAGTTTTTGAACTCAGTCAGAATACGGTCGATGGCGCCTCGGCGGGTGGCCCTTTTGATTGCTCGGATTTCTCGGCGGATACGTTTGTTGAGGTGGTTCCGAATTGTCGGCTCCGTACTCGGGGTGTCGTGCCGTTGCCGCAATAACTGTGTCACCGTACTGTTCGTCGTTCCACCGGTTGGAAGGTCATCGGTCGGAGGAAGGTGGAGTCGGACAAATGTGTCTACCAACATCTGCTCGATTTGTTCGCACTGTAGTTGGAGCCCGGCGTCGAGCAGATGGGAGTCCTTGATTGCATTATCGAGGTGCTGTTTGTATTCAGGGACGTCCGGTGGTGGCCACTGTGGTCGTTGCTGTCGGCGCCGTCGGCCTTGTCTACGGTCTGGTCGTTGCTCCTGCTGTTCATGGTCACCGTCTGCCCGTTTGGGGGGTAATTTACACGTCATGCGCAACGCACGGTGGTCAGATCCCAAATCTAATGCTGGCGTCGACTCGCAGTCTGTTGTGTGGCGCCACAAACGCTTGTCAACCAAGAAGAAATCGATCTGGTGTCGGATCTTTTTCGGCGATGTGTACGTGTACATGCATTCGACGTGCTTGTAGAAAAACGTGCTCATGATCCTGAAGCGTTGATCCGTTGCCCATTATTTCAACCATTGTCCCCTTGAGTTCATAATTCCAACCCCATGTTGTCCAATAGAACGTTTGTTGTCGTCCTCAGCTCGTGTACCGATCCGGGCATTGAACTCACCACCAATAACTGTAGCAAATTTGTTGTTGTATGCCTCTAGGTGTATCTGCGCGAGCTCGTCGTATAATTTCTGTACGTGCTTGTCGCCATAACCTCCAGGAGGGAAATAGGCTGATACCAGACGTAATTTCATTTTGTGCACCCCAACGTCTGCATAACACACTCTCTCACTAACCCGCTGAAATTGGATTACGCGCCGACTCCACCGCCGGTTGGCCAGTATGGCAACTCCTGCCATATTTCATGTTCGTCTGTGCGCCAAGTCTCGCACAACAGAATGAAGTCCCAATCGATAGAACTAGCCTCCTCCATTAATTCATCAATCCGCTCTTCAGTGCATACTCCACGCACGCTTTTGTGGTAAATCCCAATCGTGTGGCTGTCTGCTATGGCACTGGTCGGGTTGCCTGGTGGTGGATGTTTGGAGTCAGAGCTTGGTGATTGGAGGTGGACTGGTTGAGGTTGCAAGTCTGCCGGTGGAGGCCGAAAGTTGGAGGTGGATGGTGGTCGGCGCTGGGATCCGGACGTTGATGGATGAAAGTGGACTGGTTGAGAGTGTGCGTCGATTGGTGGAGGTCGAAGGCTGGAAGTGGGTGGTGGTAGATGCTGGGAGTCGGAACTTGGTGGGAAGTCGATTGCTTGAACTTGTGAGTCGGAGGGTGGAAGTCGAAAGCTGCATATGGGTGTTGGCGGAAGCTGACTGTCGGATCTTAGTGTTTGGAGGTCGACTGGAGACTGTATTGAACACGTGCTGGGTGTCGGACCCGGCTTGGCTAGGGAGGGATTTCGCACATCTCTGCTGGAGGATGCACTGTGGGACGTCGCCGGACACGTCGTTGTAAGCTTTTCGTCCTCCTCCTTTTTCCTCCGAGTGTTGGATGCTGGAGGTAGGAATGCTGCATTCGTGGAGGATGGAGGTCGATAAGTGGAGGTAGAGGTGGGAAGTCGGAGGTTATACTCCGGGATGGTGGAGGCTGGAGGTCAATGGGTGGAGGTGGGGAGTCGGGTGGTGAAGGTCGAAAGCTGGAGTCGGGAGCAAGTGATTGAAGACACGGCCGTTGAAGTGGAACATCTTGGTGTTGACGTTCATGGCGGACGTCGTTGCAGAACTCATCAACGTGCTGGTGGTAAAATATGTAACCCATGACGACTCCTTCCGCAAACATCCCCAATCGTCGTAACGATGTCCTCCAGGAGAGCTTCACACTGTGAGTCCTGCTAGGAGGCCTGAAGGGGGGAGGTCAGAAAGTCGGCAGAATCTGCGTCGAAGGCGGGATGTGGTAGATTGGGCGTGGGTTGTCGGAGGTTGGAGAATGAAGAGTGTAGATGGGTCGAAGTTCTCTGGGGGTGGAGGTCGGAATCGATCGCTGGAGTCGGAGAGGCACTGTCGGAGTGGGAAGCCGGAGTCGGAGCATCCTGGGCTGCACCGTCGTCGGGGAGAGCGGCGCCAGAGTCGGAAGTAGTAGTACGTCCCTGCCGTAGAATGCACCACGGCACATCTCCGGAAACGTTGTCGTAGATCCGTCGTCCTCCGCCGCGGCCGCGTGAAACTTCAGACTGGGCAACATGATGGTCCTTCGGAGGTGGGAGGTCCTGAGGGAGATGGGGGTAGATGGGTGAGAGAGCGTTGGTGCGGGAGGTCGATGCCGGAGTCGGTGAAACATGTCCTTGTTGAGGCCGTCCTGATAGAGGTAGCTGCCCGTTGTGTCCTGCTGGCGCACTGTGCGGAAAGGACCCTGAAGGATGGGAGCGTATCGTAAGCAAATTTATGTTATTCACACATCTGCAGCTATGTTGTAGCCTCATGTGGTGACTGTCGGAACCCCAGGTCCTACAGATCGCTGTCGGTATCGGGGTCCGGGTTGATTTTCTCACGAAAAGCGGTTATCGATGCTTCGACCTCGGTCGCGACTGATTTTCCAAGGCTGGTCGTTTGCCACTGCCCGTCTTTATCATACCAGGCAACCTTTTTGTCGTTGATGGTAAACCACAAAATCTTCACACTGTCGTGTTCGTGTTTGGGTTTTTGTGTTAAGTGGTATTTTGTGTACCCCAACCGTTTGTCGTCAATGTCCTCGTCCCTCGTCTGGTCATTTTTGAAAAATATCCCTTCCATGAAAGGCGCTTTCCCCATGTCGTGAACCTTCCTGTAGAACTTCACTTTATCAGGCACGGTTGGGAAGGTGATCGCGCCCTTCTTGGTAGGGGTGTTGAAGGTGCTCACGTGGACGCTGCTGATGTCCTCCAAAATCTGTGCCAAGATCCCCTTCAACTTGTTCTCCAACTCTCCCGAAGGTAGTGGCTCCTTAAACCCAAGCGCGACCACCTGCTTGCTCCTGTCCTCGGTATTTTTCGTGTTCTGGAGATTGCCCCTGGCGTCGCCAAGCTTGCTGTCTTTGAAGTCTTGCAGCTTGCTCGCGATCATCTCCTCGACTTGGTTCTTGGTCAGGTAGAGTTGTTGAAGGTCGTTCCGCATGCCCTCCACCTCCATTTCCATGTCCTCCATCTTCTCCTGTACCTCCTCTGCTGCCCTCCTGGCGTCCTGTGCTTCGATCCTCGCCTTGTCGATGTTGGTCGTGATGCCTTCGAGCTGCTTCGATAGACGTTGTTCGAAATCCTGAAACCACTTTGGAGGAGTGTTCGCAACCACGATCTCGTCATTCGAACCCCTCGCAGATCCAACCATTCCTGCCTCCTCCTCCTCCTTCTTCTTCTTCTGCTTAGTTGGTGTCGACCCGGTATGGCCGCCGGCACGTTTGCCTTCGTCCGCCATGCCTGCCCAATACGGTGCAACAAGCTTAAGAGAGATTGTGGATAGGGTGTCGGAAGTGTTAGCAGGATGTGAGAGTATTAGTTGGGAATGCTTGATGCTTGTGGGCGTACAAGAGGGGGGGGCGCAAATCATGGCCGACGGCATGTGCGCGGCACCAGGGGGGGCGGGGACGTAATGAAATAAGATGAGGCGCCATGCAATCTGGGGAGATATCTTGGCCCCCGCCATGATATCCTCCCCCCCTAATCACCTAGTCATCACCGCCCTCTTTGCCGCCCCCGAGCTCTGGGGAGGGATCGCCCCCCACCTTCCCGGAACTCTTGGATATCGGCGCTGGACCCCCCCCCGGAGCGCGCCAGGGTCGGTGCTGGAGGCGTCACCAGGGGGCCGCAGCGCCGATCCGAGAAACTGCGCTGGCTCCAGAAAGCTTGCATGTGTAAGTGGATATTCCTCAGGCAGTGCTTGCACTGAAGGGGTCCAAGCGGATATAGAAAGATTTGGCAAACATCCCGGACCGACTTCGGTAGCCGGCTGGTTTCCCGGCTTCCCGGTTCTGGGATCCCGGGTTTCCGGTTTCGAGATCCCACAATCGAGAACACCATCAGTTTTTCAAACCCTCCACTGATTCGGGTTTTTCTCTGGTGTGCTGTCTTCTTCCATTCGCTCCATCCAGCGGCGATGCCGACAGCGAGGCTCGTCTCGTCGGCAGCCCTCGCCTTCCCCTCCCTGCTCCTCGTTTGTTCTTCGGCGGTCCTCGCATCCCTCCGCGGCGGGGGCGGGGCCTGGGGCCGCCTGGAAGGGCAGATCGGATCAGATCGACATCTTCGCCCACCGGACGCACCAGGGTGCACCGCAGGCATCGGACCGCACCGGATCGTCAGGATATCAAGGCCGCATCGGATCGGGCCAGCCAGAGTCGATATCGAGCCGGATCCATCGAATCGAAATGGGAAGGCGAGCAACGCCCGAGGAGCAAGCATCCAGCGCTCCAGGCTCAGTCTGCGGCCACGGATCCGGGGCCCCACAGTAGCCAGCGTGACTCGGCGGCAACGGCCACCCCCCCGATGAGAGCAAGCCAAGGCATATACCGAGCCGTCATGATGACCTTCGGCAGGCGAGCGCGTTCCACCACTCGCACAATGACTACTCGCAAATGGCCTGGATCCGCCGGGGGGAGATCTACGAGAAATGACATCGAGCCAGACATCGGTGTTCTGCACGTTTGCGAGTAGGCACTCTGCGAGCAGTGGAACGCGCTCGGTGATTCGGGAGCTACCAATGGTCTGGCCTGGGTGGTGCACTGGAGGAGGAGGCGGAGGAGGAGGAGGAGGAGGAGGAGGATGAGGAGGAGGGGGAGGAGGAGGAGGAGGAGGAGGAGGAAGAGGAGAGAGGAGGAGGGAGGAGGAGGAGGAGGAGGAGGAGGAGGAGCGGGCGCTGAGGGGCGGGCGGGCGCGGAGGGGCGGGGGGGGAGAATGGGCAACGGCGGGCCTCCGGACGACACTGCTGTCGTCGGCTGGGCGGGAGGAGGCGCGGGGAGGAGGAGTGGGAGGAAGCAGCGGATGGGGAGCGGGGCAGGGAGGCGGGGGAGCGAGGCGGCGGGGGAGGGTGGGCGGGGGGGCGGGTGAGGCGGGGGAGCGAGGCGGCGGGGGAGGGTGGGCGGGGGGCGGGTCAAAGGCCGAGCCCCTCGACGCTCGGCCTGTTGGGATGCCCCCGCCGCCCCCCTCCCCCTCGTGGGCGCCTGGAAGACGTCGCAGGCGAACGGGCGAGGGACGTCCCACGTGCACTCGGGCGGCTTGATGCCGGGGCTGATGTCGCTGTCGAGCTGGGACGCCTGTCGGAGACCCCGAACATGGCAAGAAGACGCTCGGGGCCCCAAAGCCGTGTGGTGACGGACCTCACTGCGCGGTCCGTGACCAGACGGCTTGGGGACCTCGGAGGCCCAGGGCGCTCGAGACATCCTCGGAGAACGGCCCGCGTCCGAAGACAGCGCGGCTGACCCGAATCCGGACTGACTCACCACGAGGTGTGGCCACCACACCACTTGGGGGTGCCCGGCATCGGGGCTCGCCTCCACCGGGAAACATGATCCTGGACTGCGGTGTCGGCGTCAGTCTTCGCCAGGCCACCAGACGATTCTAAAGATTGCCGCAATCGCCCGGATCGGGGGCCACCCTCCCGCGGTGGAGGCGATCTGGTGGTGTCGGTGCTGATTTGCGGGCCTCCGAGCCTGGTCTCCGCCCTCCGCCGCAACGAGTCGCGCGCTCCCGAAATCGATGATCTTGACCCCGGGGGCCGCGGGGGGCGCCCCGGCCCGCCGCACGGCGGGGAGGTCGACCATGACGTTCTCCGCGTGGAGGTCCCTGTGGGCCACCTGCTGGCCGTGGAGGTAGGCGACCGCGTCCAGGATGCGCTCCAGCACCGCGTGGCGGCCCACGCAACAGAGCATGCTGCCTGCTGGCAGGTGGGACTCCAGCAGCGACCCGCTGCAGTACTCCATCACCATGCCGCACCCGACGGTGGCCTCAATCAGCGCGACGGCGCGAACGATCCCATTGTGGTCCAAGCCACTCAGGATCTCGTGCTCCCTCTTCAGCGTATCGCGCAATATGCCCTCGCCAACGCCCTCGTCGGTCACCTTGGCCGCAAACGTGGCGCCACCCTTCGTCACGGAGACGACGCTGAAGCCGCGATTCAGCTGGCTGCGACCTATCACGCACCCCGCGCTGTACCCATGGAGCGCAAAGCAATCGCAGCAGTCCGCTTCTTCGCGCCGGCGCGGCAAAGCCACCCTGCAGCCCCTCCTCTGAGTATCGTTTAACCGATCCCCATCCCCAGCGGCGTGGCCTGGGCCCCACTGGCCAATTTACACCCCTACATGGGGATAGGTCGTTCCCTTCGGGATTCGAGGGGTGTATCTCCAATTGGGGGGGTAATTTGGGGGGTCTCGAAGGGGATGGGGATGGGGATGGGGATCGGTTGAACAATACCGATCCTCGACTGCAGACTAGTGCAACTTCTGGCGCCCTGCAACTTCTGCAGCGGCCAGGAGTCGTCGAATGCCGGGTAAGACGCGGCCGTGCTCGACGTGCTCGTCGGGCTGTCGTTCTCGTCATGCCGCCGGGGCCCCGCGCTGATCCCGAAGCCGGGGACGTCCTCCCCGTCCCGCCTCCTTCTCGCAATCCCTCTTCACAGTCGGCGTCGACCTCGTCCTTTTCTCCTCCAGACGATGCTCCTGTGCCTCCGTGTAGTTATCCCCCGCTTCCGTATCATCCCCCCCCCCACCCGCGTCATAAGCCTACCCCTCTCCTCCCTGGCGCCACGTCGTCGTCCTCCTCCTCCTCCTCCTCCTCCTGCCTCCACTCTTCTCGACCTTATCCTCCTTAATGTTTGACCCTCCTCCTCAGACTCACGCTTTCCCTCTTCTTCATTCCCCCACCTCTTCCAGCCGCGCAGCGGACTTAACTTCCAGGGGAGTGAGGGTATCCTTCCCGCTCTCGTCGCGACGACAGTGCGCCATCTTCCTCGTGGCCCATCGCAATTCACTTCCCCCTACTGCGGAACTCATTGCACGGCAACTACGACGACTGGCAAAGCGCCGATGTTGAGAATCGACCATTCACCGATGGACTCACCCATGCCAGACTGTAACACTGAGAAATGGTCCATGAACGGGCACGAATGTCTCCGAAGTGTTACTCTGCTATGCGAATCCTCTCTCTGCTCGAGCTCGCGTCGCGTGCTGCCAACTGTTCCGTCACTGCGCCAGAAGCAGCAACCCAACCGGGGATGGAATGCCCTGGGGACTCTTGAACCCAGAGCCTTTCCAGACGGCGTCGGAGCAGATGGGGTCGGAGGATCGTGCCGCATCTTCGATGCATCACTGATGCATCGGCGACGTCGGCGTGGAGGACATCTGACTCCACATCGAGCAGCATCGCCGATGCATCGGCGATGCGGCGCCATCCTCTGAGCTCATCTACTCCGACCCCATCTGGGAGGCCAAGAGAAACTCAGGAACGCGACTCAGCATAGAAATCTTGCCCAGTGTCCTCCGACACAGATCCAGAATTAATGAGTAGTACGGGGCCAAGTCCCAGAATTTCCAGATTTCCAGGGTCTTGTCGCGGTTACCCGCATGGTGCCGCGCGACTATTTCGGAGCCAAACGGGCACCCAGTCGGGCTCAGAGGGCCCAAAGAGCCCCCCAAGAGGGTCCTAGAGAGCCTCGAGTGGTCGAAAGATCGCTCCAGTGGTCCTATTACGCCAATCACCCAGACGGACCCGCACACTTTTCAATTCATCGGTCTTCCCGCTCCACGACGGCCAGCATGGCTGAAGATGGCCTCCAAGATGCCTCCAAGAAATCCTAGATGGCCCCATCAGAGCCCAAGATGGCCGCAAGATGCCACCAAGACGGCCCAAGATGCACACAAGGTGGCCCAACATGGCCCCAAGATAGCCCAACACGGGCCGAGAGGCCCCGAATAGGCCTTGAAGGGAGCCTCCAGGAAAGCTCGAAGGTATCTTTCCTCCTTTTTTTCTGTCTCCCCCATTTGTTCGCCGAAGCGTTTCCACAACAGCTGGGGGAACACATGGTTCGATAGCTTGGCCAAGTTCTGGCCACAACGCTCGTCTCAAGAGCACACGACACGCATGACTTCAGGAAATTGTTGGCCCTGATTCAATGGGATCTCGACTGATCCCGCCGGCCACCCAAAAAGCCGCACAAACTGCGCCCCCCATCAGCTTTCCCCCCAAATATCGCCCCATGGGGACCCGTAAACTGCCCGGGTCACGGTCCTCCTGCTCCAGACGGCCCCAAGATGGCCCGCAAGACGACCAACATGGTCTCCAAGACGTTTGCGATGGCCCAGAGAGACCCCAAGATCGCCTGAAGATGTCTCCAAGACGGGCCAAGATGTATCCAGGACGACCCAATACGGCCCTCAGAAAGCCCTAGTCGGCCCGAGAGGCCTCCAAGAGCCCTCCGAGAGAACCTCCAGGATAGCCTGAAGAGATCTCCCCTCCTCTTTTTCTTCCTCCTCCACCTATTCCCCGAAGCGTTTCCACAACAGCTGGGGGACCACGTGTTTTGATGGCTTGGCCGAGCTCTGGCCACAACGATCGGCCACATGGGTGTTTCCAGACGGCAGTTTGCTTGGCGCGCTAAAGAGTTAACTGGATTGAACATGTTTGTATGGGTTCAACTGGCCTTCGTCTTGACCCGCGGGCCACATGGTAGCCGTGCCAACCGTGGCAGGCAAGGATCTGTTCCCCCAAGATGGCTGTAAGATGGCCCCCATGAGTGCGCCAAGATGTCTCCAAAATGGCCTTCAAGACGGCCAAGATTGCCCCAAGACGACCCAAGATGCCCTCAATACGCCCTAAAAGGGCTTGAAGAGGACTTCCAGGAGGCAAACATTCATGAACCCCTGATGTGATATGCTTCAGCGTTCTCGTCTTCTCGGACTTTGGACGCTGGAAGACGCTCCCATACATAGGCCCACCAAACCGCCCCAAGATTGCTCAAGAGGCCCCCAAGAAGCCCGCCAGACGGCTCAAGAGGGCCCCAAGACGGCACAAGAGGCCGCCAAGACGTCCCCACAGACCTCAAAGACGGCCCTAAATTGCCCAAAAGAGGAACTCACGACTGCCAAGCAAGGCCCCCAAGGCGGCCTCCGAGGCCAGGACGGCCAGGACGCTGGGAAGAGATCACCTCCATGAAGTAACACGAAGAACGCAATCAGCACGCACAGCTCGAACATGTGCGACTGACAGCGGCTGACGATCTCACAGTCCCGCAGCCACCAGAGCCGTGCGGGCTGAGCTCGTGGGGGTCTCCACTGGCTTTCAGGGTCGCGAGGCTCGCGAAAACAGGGGGCCTTGCATTCCTAGCACTTTGCTGACATCGTGAGCGTTTTCTCTTCGGCGTTTCCCGACATTGGGCGGAAAGGGGGGGGGGAGGGGGTGGTCTGGCTCTTAGTGGGACCTGGAAACGACAGGGGATTTTGTTTACCGGTTCCGTTTTGCACGTTTTTGAAATTCCGACGCCGTTTTTTTACCGGTTCCGTCGCCGTTCTTTTACGGGTTCCCGATCCGGTTCCAATCCTGGAGCCGTTTTTGTTGCCGTTTCCGGTCGCCGTTTTTTTGCCGTTTCCATTTTCAAGGGTCACCTTTTCGGAAACGGTGAAAAAACTGCCCTGCCGTTTCTGGGGCCCACTAAGGTCTGGCTCCAGACCTCTGCTGAGCGCAACTGTTTGCAAGAGCGCTGCCTCTGGGGGAGCCTCCACCCGCTCGAAGCAGGCGCCAAGAACAGCCAAGATCCAATCCAGGAAAGGGGGGAGGAGGGGGTGCAAGGGCCCGCGCCGATCGGCAAAACAATGCATAAGAACACGATTACTATTGTGAACTGTCAACCCATGCCACCTGGCCCTCAGTGTGGGCTCACCGCCGGCGTGTCTGGCCAGCAAGGTGCGTACCCCTTCTCGTCGTCCTCGCCGCCGTCGTCGTCTTTCGACTCTTCCTTTGCCTGGTATCCTCGCTTGGTCAGAATGGCGCAGGCAGCCGCACCACTGTCACTAACCTGGGCTTCTATTGCAAGCATTGTTGAGGCCTGTTCTTAACTGTTGAGGCCTGTTCTTAACTTTCGTTCCTTTTGGGAACTGCCCCTGCTCACTTCATAGTGTCGACCGTCGTCCGCTGTCGAGCCAGACTGTTGTCCGCCTTTCTCGTACACACACACACACACTTGTGTCAACCTTGGAGTTGCACATAATGGCACGTGGATCGTCAACGGCTGTATCCCGCATTGTGCGTCCTCGGGGTAGATGTGCCTTTGGTCGTGCCAGCGCCGCTCGCCATGGAGGTGGGGCTTGGAGTGCTAGGCAGATTACTGGCAATCCTTACTCAAATTGTTTCTGATTGGCACATTTCCTCGTGAGGGCGAGGCCGAATGCTACGGCTTCCTGGGTGTTCTTCCTTGCCATTCCGCGGTGGGGGAGGTACGGCACGGGAGCCCGGGCGGGCTCCGCACTCTGGTGCAGAGGTGTTCCGATTTTGGCATTAAGTCGGGCGTGTCCCTCCACATGAGGAAGATTCAAGGATAGTAAACTAATAATCCAGTGACGAGTTTGATTATTTGTGATGCTTCTTCCAACATCCGCCTGTAGGAGAACATGCCCGACCTAATTTTGGCCCTACCGCACGCACCTCCGGCCCATGCCAGACAAGGCGGCATGGGGAGGTTGCCCGCAGCCTGCAACGGGCACCAGGCTGCGACAACAACCTCCCGCTCCTTCAGAGGCCTCGGGAGGCCTCAAGCTGTGCCCTCAGAGGCCCCAAGACTCCCAGGAAGCACCCAGAAAGCCACAATACTGCCTCAGGAAGCATCTTTTTCCTTGTCCTCCTCCCCATCCAAAGGGCTCCGCAAAGGCTGGGGGAACACATCATCGAATACTTCGGGTAGGCTTTGCCCCAACGAATTTCCGAAAGACAAGGGGCGGAGCTGGTTCACCCTCATCAAACGTCCTCGGTATGATGATACCAGGCCCGCTCTGGGAAGGACCACGACTCGCTCTGCCTCAGATGTCGCCTGAGCCAGACGTGAAAGGGCAACGTCTGCTTGTTGGAAGGACCCTCTGGACTAGCACTTTGTTTGACGCCTGCCGCTGCCGCCGGCGTCTCTCCCGTCCATGCCCTGCTGTACCTCGTCTTTGTTTCATACGCGGTTCCGATTACCTCTCACGGTGCCGAGAAGACGAAAGAGGAGGGAGGAAGAGAAGGAGGAGGAGGAGGAGGAGGAGGAGGAGGAGGAGGAGGCTCGAAGACAGAGGTTCAAAGATCGGAGATCGCGTCCCTCCTGGGCAAATCCCCCCTAACCCCTGCCTCGGACCCTTGGGGCTCCGAAAACAGTGCGGTGACAAACCGTGGGGTGACGCCGGAACCCTCAGAGGCCTGACTGCACGCTCCGTCACAACACGGATCTGAGACCCTGCAGGCCCAACTTACCAGAGACGTTCTCGGAAATCGATCCGAGTCCAAAAAACCATGCGGTCACCCCAAATCGCAACTGACTCAACACCGCCTGGGCGCCCTGGAACCACACCCCCGTGCGCGCCGTCAAACTGGTGGGGCGTCATACTCCTGGGTCCCCGG